TAATGTACAGTTTTAATCTTGTTCACGTACTGATTAACCAAATTAACTTTCATAAATATTATTAAATATTATATTAGGGTTGGCAAATTGCGCTGATCCAAATGGACCTACTACACTGATCAAATGAAGCGTTTAACTTTTAAAATTTTAAGTTTGAATTAAATTTACATTTTTTAAATCAATTTTATCAAGTTCAATGAAATTAACAATATTAGAAAAAATTCAATTGAATTTTAAAAAATATTTTTGTTAGAGCCCTTAAGATTATTTTTCCAAAGCAACATATAAGATGTGTATATTAGAAAATCTGAGTAAAATTTGACTTTTTAATTTCATTCTGGGGATACCGTAGCTACTTGTTGAAGGGATAAATTACGGGGAATACTAGTTGCAGAACATTTGGCATGCGTTATATATATATATATATATATATATATATATATATATATATATATATATATATATATATGTATGTATGTATACTTTTAAATTTTATATTTTCATTAAAAAAAATTATATTTTCTTACAAATATTTTTTTGCTCTAAGTTGACGAAGAGATTGCTTGTTGTGCATGTATTTGTTTAATATACATAGGAAATATAGCCGAAGAATATATTTTTTTAAATATGACGTGCTCAGGTTATTTCTTTCCTTCTATTTAAAATATTATAAGAATGAAGTTATCAACAGCTGACATATCATGTACTGCTTATTAAAAGTAGAAGAATGAAGTGTCTAACAACCAAAAGTCTGAAATTGCGAGCCACATTCCAGCTGCGTGCTCTTTGCTATCATAACTTTTAAGCACTTTCAAACGAGCACTAATCTTCCTGTATAATGATATAATCATCTAAACGTGACCTAGCTAGAACAATATGAATATTAATATAACGTAAATTATGTGGTACTCTTAAAAAAAATTTAGACTACAGTACATGAAAATTTTTAATTAATAACATTTAAATGCATGCTTAAATAATAAATTATTATATTTATTATATTTAAATAAGCTAAAGAACATTTAAGTCTTTAAATAAAATTAAAATATAATTAAAATTTAAAAATGAAACAATAATATTATATTAATATATTTTTTATATTCTTAATTCTATTATTATTAATATTTAATTATTATATTAATATATTATGTCATAAATCTTTTTATTTATAATAAATAAAAATTACTTAAATATAAATTGTATTTTATTTAAAATTAAAATATTATAAAAACTTGATAAAAAAGTAAAATAAAAAATTTAACATACTATATATATATATATATATATATATAATAAAAACATAGTAAATAATATAATTTTAAATAAATTATATATAATAATATTTTTTAACTTACCATATATCTCTTTTTTATTGATATAAATTTTTTTTAGGTAGAATACCTATAAAAAAAAGTTTAGAATATTACAGCACACGTTTTAATATAATCAATTGAAAGTGTTTCAACCATTTTTAGTATGAAATGATTATTTTGACAACTTTCGTGATTGTATTATATAAGCCACCTATGAAAAAGTAAAAAGTTAATAATAATAAAATTTAAATTGTTTTATTTAATTTTTCAGAAAAATATGTTAGAAGAGAAATATATTCTTTATATCCATGTAAAAAAAAAAATACACAACTTTAACATAGTTCAGTTCTTTTTACTTGTATTTACAAAATTTTAATATAATTTTATTATTTTGTAATATTTTATAAATAAATTTATAGATTATTTTACCTATAATTATAATTTATAAATGAATACAATTATAAACCCTCATTTTTACAATTTTTGTTCAAATAAAATTACAAATTATTTTGTAACACATAACTATTTAAGAGAACTACATGTTACAGTGAGGAAACATAAAATAAATTCTCATATTTATATAATTTTTTGTCTATTCTTTTTCAAGATTTTAGATATAAAATTTAGATAAAAAGTTTACTTTAACCAACAAGACCTTTTTATTTTAACTATGAAAGAAATTACTTTTCAACTTCTTTTATTTTATTTCCCTTCGTCTTTGTCAGAATCATAGTTTGATATGATCACTCAAACAAACTTTTAACTTTAACACTATTGTTGAAAAGAGAAAGAAGTCTTTTACATTTTTTAATCATTCACATAAAAAGAAATTACACAACTTGAACGTAATTTGATTCATTTTATATATATTTATGAACTTTTAATATAATTTTATTATATTATAATTTTTTATTAGATAAAATTAAAAATTACCTCACCTACAACTTTTATGAAAATGAAATTATAAACTTTCACCTAACACAATTATCAAAGTTCTAGTATACGTTGTTGTGATGATAAAATATAAAATAAAATTTTCTATTTATACTATTTTATTAATTTTTTAAAAACCTTTTGAATATGAAACTTAGATATGAATAATTCAAAATTTTTAATTATCTAAATTAATTTTTTATTTTAAAAATTTATTTAATAATTAATAAAAGTATATTAAAAACGTGATAGGTTATTAACTTACATAAATTACATATATAATATAATATAATTTATAATAAAAAATGTATTTGATTATTAACCCACAAATATTAGCATCCCCTCCCGCCCCCTCTATTGCCCTATTGATTATTGTGCTCTTTTATTTTATTTATTTTTGGAATTTAGAATGTGGGTTACTTATATATAATGATAAAAGTCTCTCTTAAACCTCTCCCTCTTGTAATGAATGCGAGGTTCCATTCACACCCATGCTTCAATTGATAGAGTCAACTAATGTATTCATATTTTTAACTATTTCATTTTACGCATGTATTTAAAAAATATATGCTGATATCAAAGCAACAGATTAAATTAATTCGATTTTATCTTATATATGAAGGTATTATATTTTTAGTAAATTGAAGGTGTCAATCAACAACATATAAATATAACGCTAGCTGGCTAGGATTATTATTAGCTAAAACAAAGTATCTAGATAATTAACAAACTTTATAATCCGGAATCTTCTATCTGTTGTCTTGATCAGAATTTGTCCAAATTCAAACCAAATAGTGTTTTTGAAAGCTCGCAAAGTAAACTATACTTTGGATATTATAGACACGTAGCAGAGCTCTTCAATTAGTGTATTTATAAAAGTCTAATAACATGATGAGAAATAAAAAAAGAAAAAAGAAAAATCAACACGCTGTTCGGTCAAAGAACAGTGACAACTTGAATGTAAGTAAGATGCAGCGAGTGAAGTTAAGGGAGGACAACGTGAACCAGGATGGCAGCGACACTCAAAATGAATCTGACTTTTTCTTTTTTTTGGTTGGTTTTTCACCTTTTCGTTTTCGGTTGGGATCAGTTAATCCGAATCACAATTCAATTCTCAATATATTGAAAATTCAACTATTGCTTCTTAATTTTCTTCGTATTGCATCCACAATTTGTACATTTTTTTTAATGTCGGCCAAAAGTCAACCCCTCACTTTTAAGATTAGCGGAAGTTTGCATGCGTTGGAGGCCGAGAATGTAGAGAGAGAAACTAATGAACACACTCAAAAGAGAAAGTCAAACGGGGTAAATTAATGCTGCAACAATCTGCAACTCCCCATTTTATTATTAGAATTTAAGTAAATTTTTATTAATAAATATAACCTTTAAAGTATTAATAATATTAAACATTATAGTCTTTAATAAAAATTTATTTTCTATTAACTTTAATAATAACTTTGAAACACAAATTAAATAAAATGTTTAAAAAATCTCTTTTATATATATATATATATATATATATATATATATACAGGAGCTATTAATTTCTATAATTTATCCGCTCCTTTTCCTATTTATCTTTTGAGTTTAATTTTGATAAATGTATAAGGATTTTACACGTAGTATTGTATGTTTTAAAAATAGTTGAAATTTTTCTTTAATAAAACTTGTTATTACAAATAAGTCTTGCAAAGCCATTGATGCTACTGGAACAAAAAGAAAATAAAGAGTAAAAAGGCATAGTTTTAAATACTTCCCCAATACGACATTTTTATTCATTTTCACTAAATAAAACTTTGTTTTTTTTATTAACAAATAGAATTATCAAATATTAACATTATATTTATTAGTTTGTCTAACAAAAAAACGAAGTATTAGAATAAATTTTAAGTTTATACTAACAAAGAATACGTTATGTAATTAACAGTTGATGTATTAATAGTATAATAAAATTATTTTTTTTAGCTTAAATTTAGGAGACAAGATCAAGTCAATTTAATTTATTAACATAATGTTTAACAACATTTATATTAAATTATAAAGTTAAAATTATTATATATATATATTGAAACAAGCAGTATTAATATAATAAATATATCATTGTATTAAATGAATAAAACATATAACTTATTACTGATATTTATTTATTAAAATGATATAATTTTTTAAAAGTATTAAATATAAAATAAAGTAAAATAACTTCAAATATAACTCAAAATGGCTTTCGAAACACGTTAAATATTAATTCATATAACTTAAGACCTGGTACGGATGTTAAAATTAGGAAAATGTCCACTTAGTTTTGATAACTAATTCTAAGTTTAGGATTAATTTTAAGTAATTAATACATAGTGATTTTTATTAAAAACTATTATATATTATATTAAAATATAAAGTGAAATAAATAATATTTTCAATATTTAAAAGTGTAAAATTAAAAGCCTAAAAAATTAAACCTAGTTTGGTCCCGTCCAAGTTGATGTTACTGACTGGGCAATTAAAATTGGCCATTCTTGAGACGTTCCATGATCCATCTGAGTTAATTGATTGGAAAAGTCATTACTCTCTCTCTCTCTCTCTCTCTCTCTCTCTCTCTCCCCTTTTAGAAGGAAGTTGCTTCATTTTGCCGTGTTTTGACTTTCTGCAATTTGAACACCCAAATGCTATATATAAAACGCATCCCAACGCTCTCTCTCACACAAAACACACACATTTCAAAGTCTAAATTTTCTGCCAATTCATTTTTCACTCGCAGCAAACAACATGGACGAGATCGATGTCCCTCCCTTCTTCCTCTGCCCCATATCGCTCGAAATCATGAAGGATCCCGTCACCGTCGCAACCGGTATCACCTACGACCGAGACAGCATCGAGAAATGGCTCTTCTCAACCAAAAACGACACGTGTCCCGTCACCAAGCAACCGCTTCTCCTCCCAGACCTCACTCCGAACCACACCCTCCGCAGACTCATCCAAGCCTGGTGCACCGTTAACGCCTCTAACGGCATCCAAAGAATCCCAACGCCAAAACCACCCGTCAGCAAATCAAATGTCGAAAAACTCCTCAAAGACGCTTCCAATTCCCCTCTCTTACAAACCCAATGCCTCCAATCCCTCAAATCCATCGCATCCCAAAGCGAATCAAACAAACGCTGCCTTGAATCCGCTGGCGCCGTTAACTTCTTAGCTTCACTCGTAACCGGCAACGCCGGTTCCTCTTCTCCTTCAACCTTAACAGATGACGATGATTTCGTGTTCAGAACAAGCGCAGAAGACGAAGCCTTAAGCATCTTACACACTCTTCACTTATCAGAAACAGGTTTGAAGACCCTAATGGGATTCAAAAGTGGCGAATTTTTAAACTCCTTAACAAGGTTAATGCAAAGAGGCGTATACGAGTCACGTGCTTACGCAGTTTTTTTGTTGAAATCAATGTCTGAAGTGGGTGACCCAGTTCAGTTAATTCACCTACGAAGTGAAATGTTCGTGGAATTAGTACAAGTTCTGAAGGACCAGATTTCACACAAGGCTTCGAAAGCGACGTTGCAAGCGTTGATTCAACTGTGTCCATGGGGAAGGAACAGGATCAAAGCGGTGGAAGCAGGTGCTGTTCCTGTATTGGTGGAGCTTCTTTTGGATTGCAAAGAGAGAAAGCCTTGTGAAATGATGCTTGTGCTTTTGGAGATTCTGTGTCAAAGTGCTGATGGGCGTGCAGGGTTGTTGAGCCATGCGGCGGGTTTGGCTATTGTGTCGAAGAAGATTCTGAGGGTTTCGACGATGGCGAATGATAGGGCTACGAGGATTTTGTTGTCTGTTTGTAGGTTTTCTGCGACTCCATGTTTGGTGCAAGAAATGCTGAACCTGGGTGTGGTGGCGAAGCTATGTTTGGTGCTTCAGGTGGATAGTGGGAACAAGGCGAAGGAGAAAGCGAAGGAGATTCTCAAGCTTCATGCGAGGGTTTGGAGGAATTCGCCTTGCTTACCCAGTCATTTCCTTGCTTCGTACCCAACGAGTGCGTGAAATGCATGAGTTGAGTTTTTGGCTTCGATCTTATTGCTTCGATCAAATTTCGTTTACTTCTTTTGTTTTTTAGTGTACAGAAGAATTCTTATTTGGAGGGATGGGGGTTGGGCATAAAATGTTGCCCATAATGGATTCGTTGGGAAACAAATTGGAACTCATTGAGTTTTGCGTACACTGTATAATGATAAATGGAACACTGACACACAACACAATTTATCAAACCCATTTTGTTATTTCCTCACCCTATTTCAATTCTATTTTTCGGCCTTTACATACAATTCAATCTGCTTGATGAAAAAGAAGAGGATAACATTGGTTTTAAGGGTTGGTTTTTAAATATTTAAAGATGATAAGTTTTTATTATCAATGAAAGTTTTTATTATATTTTTAATGTAAAGAATACTATTATTTTTAATAAAAATTTATAATTTTATATATTTAAAATTAATTTAAAAAAATTGTACTAACAAAATCGTAATTAACATATAGCAGTCTTTAGATAACATTGCTTTTAGGTTAGAATTAAACATGGAAAAAATTATAGAGGGTCTAATTATTTATTAAATATTAAATTTTTTAGACTATCTTTAGTTTTTAATATTTTTAATTTCTTAAGGTTACTTTTAACAATTGATGTTATTAACATAAAAATATGTTTTTACTTTTAATTATCTACCTAGAAAGAAAAAATAGTTTCTATTTATATAGTTATGTAGAATTTAAAAATAATATGCATTGATATTTTTTTATACTAAAACTTACAATTTTATCTCTATAAAATTTTAAGTATGATAAATAAAATATTGAGTTTATTTACGTAACCAATTTAATAATCACTTATTTAACTACTCTTATTATATAAGACTCTGTGAAATATTTAATTATGAAACTTACTAAAATAAAATTTAAAAAGTTATAGAAATAATCAAACTATTATGAGTTTTTTACAAACTCTTTTAAAAAAAATATAAATTTTACTAAATAATTATTTTTTAATTTATATAATTTCTTCTCACTCTATTCAAATAAAGAAAGATGTAGTATATATAATACTACTTTATGGCGAGATCAAATGTCGATACTCTATTATTATTTTCAGTAACTGGCAATAAATTAGTCTAGAATCGTTCAGTAAGTCCCAATGAATAATTTTTCAAGTAAAGAACATGGGATACTGCTTAATTATAATTTTTCTCTAAAAAATTTTATTTCTAAAATTATTCTTAATTTTAATTAATCTAACTCGAGTTAAAAAAAACTTAGTCTTAGAAAAAAAATTAAATCTCTTTTCTTCTCGTTCCTGAAAATTTAACTTGAAATCATATTAAAAAAACAATAATTTATTATTTAGACCAACAAGAACAAGTTAATTATTATTTAAACACTGATTATATTCCCGATTTTGATTATTTTTCAATTGGAGTTATTTAAAATTTCTTAAATCGAAAATTCCTGGCTAATTTAAAAGATTCAAATTCAGGAAAAAATTAACACCACTAATTACAAGAAAATGGAATTTTTTTACAAGGACAATTTTTTTAAAAGAAAAATATAATATATTATTATAAAAAAAAAACAGAAAACTTGAAAACAAGCCTCTTAAATAGGATAATAAATATAACTATACCTTACCCATAAAAGAAGCTCTCAATCCAAACCCAAATATTGAAATCAAGCGTTTTACCCTGCCACCAAAACTAGACCCTAAAAAATATTCCAAGGGCAATAATATATCAGAGACCTCTTGATAAATTAGAAAAATGCTAGATCCAAATTTCTTATTCGAATGATGTGCCATACTTCTTGACTCTTCGACAAGTGAGTTTATATGCTTTTACTTTATTTCATTTAACAACTATACTTAAATTTTGTTAGAACTAGAAATCTGACCTTTTTTTTTCTTTTGGTTTTAGTAATGTTATAGCATTTTCCATGATTTTGAAAGGGAAAAGGATGTAGGTTTAGATATAATAAAATTAAGTTGATGACTATCTGCAGCTATCTCTGAGGTTTTATGTCGGATTTAGCTTCCTTTAATATTAATATAAAAATATTTGTTTATATTAACTGTATAATATATTTTACTGTTTGTATAAATATAATTTATCAACAGTTAATTTTTTCAGACAAAAATTATATATACTAATACAAATAATTTTGACATTTGATCACAAATATTCTGTTTATTAATAAATGATATTTATTTTATATTGTTAGGCTAAATCTTTTGATTTACAATTAGATTTGAATATATGCATGATAATTAGCTCTTTCATTTCAATAATTAAAAATTTATACACACACTAAAAGGTAAAAGAACCAATTAATCTGAAATTGTTCAAAACTCTAAACCCTAAAAACCCTAAACCCAATCTGAGCTGGGTGTAAATGATCATGAGTGAATGAGTGAAGGTATAGCTAGCTGAACATGACTTCTTGCTAAGAAAAAAAAAATTCTTAAGTGTTAGTATAATATTTATGTAATAAAAAGATAAATTATTAGTATAAACATTAAATACTTATATTAACAATATAATATCTTATACCAATAAATAATTTTATTATAGTAAAATATTCTTATATATTATCAAAATATTAACTGGTAGTATGATGCGTTATTTTTCGGTATATATCTTCAAAGTCTACATTATGAATTTACTATTTATTAAATAAAGATTATAGCAACAAAGATTATCCTAATAGTTAACAAATTTTATTTGTAAGTAAATGACAATTCTTTTACAGTGACTGCGTATACTTTACTATTTGTTATAAAATTAATAAATATTAAGTAGTATTTTTAAAATATTGATTAATAAATTAAAAATGATAGTTTATTTTATCAAAAATTTATTAATATACTGTCATTGTAATATTTAGAAAACATATTAATTTCTTAAAATATTTATTAATAAAATTTAAACTTGTTTACAAAATATTATAATTAATATAAACACATGTTATTATTATTAATATGGCCTTATTTTAGTTGCCTCCGAGGGAGGATTGGTCCAACTTTGTGGCTGCAACTAGGGTGAAGAGAAAGGAAGTAAATCCAGCACCAACCAACGGTTCAAGCTGCTTTTATTGCGGGACATTTCAATAACTTCTTTGGAATTTCATGAATTAGTCTTTCGGATCTTCCTCAATCATAAACAACCTACGCACCATTTTAAGCAATTTACCTACGGCCGTTTTGAAACAGCAAGGTCTATGTACACTCATTATCATCGTTGAAATTTTCATTTTCCTCGATGGAATCGTTGACCTTATCAATATAGTTAACCTCTTTCAGTATACTTATTTTTAAATCTAGAACAAGCCACGTAACTCTCTCACCCTTCTTCAGTATACTACATACTCCTATATGTGATTGCTATTTAAAGAGATGTCTACTCAAATATCATTAATTTATCATAATAATAGATTTCTGATTTCCAAAACTTGATCTAACTAAATGGCGAAAGGGTAATAAGAAGATAGTAGTTTTCCATATAAGATTTAAATGCAAAATTTCTTACTAAATGGATTAATTTTAAATCTTTACACTATTATGTTAATCCTTAGTAATATATATATTTAAATACAATTTTTTTTGTCATATTTCTTGTGATTAGTCCACTCTTTAAAGAAATTTAAAAATTAATTTGATACATATATATATATATATATATATATATATATATATATTTGAAGTTTTTTTTAAACCACTAATCACAATTAATATATTAAAAAATATATCGATCACTAACATTTCTCAGTGTAACAATATTTGTGTAAATGCTATGTAAATATAATAATTTATACAAAAACAGAATTTGAGTGCAAGTTCTTATATGATTTTTATATGATTTTTAATTTAATTTATAATTTTATATCAATAATTAAGGTAAATATTTAAGATTGACAAGGGTTATTAAAGTAAAATTTTAATTTTAATAAAAGAATAATATCGGTCAAAAGTAATTAAAAACTAGCCTCATAGGTAACTATAGCTATGTCTTTTTCTTTTATGTAATGGGAAGGAGTCAGTATTTGGAATGATTATAAGTTTTGATATTCACGTCAGACTAGTTCAGCAAGAATTCCTAAGATTTATTCTACTTGAAACTTTCTCGAGACTAGTTAGCTCAGTAAGTGTCCTCGGAATAAAATTTAATCCTTCTTTAACTACGAGTATAGATGTATTTATATGCCCAAAACTGTTTCTTACACATTTTGAACCAAAAAAATAAATAAAATTTACACCATATATTCCTCAAACTTACACCGTATATTCTATTTATTTATTGTAATTTGAATAATTTAGAATTAATTAACCTCACAAGTAATCATACAGCTGCTTTTTTCTTTTTAATTATTTCAATGGGAAACAGTCATTAGTAGGAAAGATTTTAAGTTACGATATCATCTTCAGATTAGTTCAGCAAGAAAGATACTGCTTCAACTCGAAACTTTCAACAAGAGTTAATAAGTATCGTTTGGAATGAAAATTTCACTTTCTTTTAAAATTGTGAAGTGAATTCCATATATCATGAGCAGCATATAGTTATGCAAACTCATGGACCAAGCTATAGCCCTTGTCAATTTTAAGTACCTAAAGCAATCTATTGATTGATAATTAATAAATTTTCAACTATATAACTATATTCCCCAAAACAAAAATATATAGATAGGTATTGGAACCACGTTCCAAAAGAATGGCACGAAGAGAACTGCCCGAGAGTAATCAGCATTTTTGGAGCAATAAATTATAAGTGGCTATAGAGAATTGCATATATGGCATGCACCTCTTCACACCGTGTTTGACTTTGTTACCGTATATAAGTTTGATTTAGGGTTCATAATTTGTTTTAACCAATGAATCGTTTAATGTATGAAACCCAATCTCTAAATCGGGCACATGATTAATGACAAAAATATTCTTCCAAAAATTAATAATCCCCTTACGAATTTGTCAAACATCTTGTGCTAGCTAATCTATATTATATAAAAATTGGTTATGTAGTGAATAAATTTATAATCTATATTATATACGGCTTGAACAGCGACTTAGATGAACACTCTCATAAGAAAAAAAGGAATAAGATAAACGACGATTGTTTAAGAAGCAGATATACTGACATATAAATTAATATTGTTTTCCGTGTGATCCATCCAAGATGGGATTTTATCGATTATTTAAAAAAATTATTATTATAATTTTGAAAATGGACTCAATTTAAAATTAAAGAAGTTTGAATTTAAAGTTGAGTGATTTGTTTGTATAAAATATTTTCAATAATTTAAATTTATGATATTTGTATTTATATATTTTTAATTTATTGTTAATTATAAATATAGGATTTAATTATTATAAATTTATGAATTTTTTATAAAATTAAATAACTAATTCAGTAAAATTAATTATATATTATAAATTTATGATAACAAATTATCAAATTGATAATTTATACACTAAATAAATATATATTTATTTATATAAGTAATAAATGAGTGTTTTATTAATACAAATAAGGTATATAAAAAGTTTGACAATTAATACATTTAAAAATGAATCATTATTTTTTATATTAAAAATTAATTCTTATTATTATTTCTTTAAAAAAAAAAAGAACTATCCTGTTACCGTACGTCTTCATCTACACGAAGTCAATCGTGGGGGCCACTTTTTATTGGATCATGGGCTTTTGTGGGATCATGTGTTGCACACAATTTGATGTCGGTGGACGCTCGCCTTTCAAGATTGTAGTTCCAGTCCGTCTAAATTAAAATTCAAACTTTGAATGTTTCTTTTCCCTAAATAATAAATAATAATAATAATATTAAAGAGTTGTTGTAGAATGGCCAACTCGTCACAAAGTGTGTGGTATATGAATTTCACTATAGGTTATATCAACACCAAAATATGTCGAATTGGCTATTTATGTTTATTTAATGTGGAAGGTCCAATAGACTACACAAAGAAGAGAGAAAATATTTATATGAATGCGATTTTCTGACCAAATTAAAGAGGAGAGACCCAGCCGCAGCTTGTATATGCCCAATCCTTTATTTCATACAGTTTGATTTGGAAATTGTTTGATGCCCTAATGCTGACCCTTATGCTTGTCAATGCTAGCTAGACTTCTGGTAATTCAAACACAACCTCATTATATCTTTCACTAAATACTTCAAAAGTAGGTGATGTTTCTAGGGTTCCATTAAATGACCTAATTAATTGGAGAATACTTCAGCCAATGCAACTCATTCAATCTATCTATAAAATTAAAATTGCGATGCAATAATTAAGCTAAGGAAGGACTTCTTATTAGACAAGAGTAGGAATCGGCGGGAAGAGTACGTAATTTAAAGGAACCATATGAGAATTTTAAACCTCCTAAAAGTTTTATAATAATTTAACTTTTTTTTTTGTTTTAATAAGATGTATACTTTATAGTAATTTGGTTTTTAATACATAAAATTTAAATTCAATATCTTATTAGCTTGAACCAACTCTTATTAATTTTACAATAATTTCCTTATCACAACTAATACGACAGTCATTGTTGTGTCATTTTTAACAAGTTAGAAAAATAAGAGAGTACTCTCATATAAAATTTAAATTATTAGTGTTAATTATTTAAATTTTATCTTTACAAATTTTTATTTTATTATTTAATTTTATAAAAAATATTTATTTTATTATATTTTATTGTTTGATTTTTACATAAAAACTCAAATACATAGTTTATGAAATCAAATATTAAAATGATAATTTTTTTAAATAAAATTAGAGACTAAAATAACTAATATTTACAAATTTAATAACTAAAACGAAAGCTTATGATAAATAAATTATCATTAAAAATGTAAATAATTAAACAAGTTTCGTGCTTTTGTGAAAATATAAAGAGTAACTTTTGTTTATTCAATTTGATTGATCGCATGAAAAATTGTCAGATATCATCATGTTGGATGAGAGTCGAGGATACTCCGGAGACTTTAAACTAACACTATTCGACTCGTGAGCCTAAAATCTATCATAAAATGAATCATTGCAAGCTCTCCCTCCCACAATGCAATTTACGGAGCAAAAAGTATTTGGAGCCACGAAATTGATTCTAGTATGATGAAGAATAATGCTCACAAAAATAATCACATATTTCTTGTTATCTTTTTTCCCCAACGTACATGTTCAAGATTGCCTTAAAACAATGAGTATTTTCAGAACCCAAAACTCCCATTACAATAAGTCAAAAAGAATTATAACAGGATAAATCCCTTTGCTCACATATTTCTTTATTTTATAAATGTTCATAAAGAGGAAATGAAGAGAGTTTACCAGTATATGGTGTTACTATATAGCCCCAAAGACTCTACATGTTTAATTACAACTACGAGTTATTAATTAGTAGTAACAACCCCATTCTATACATAAAATCAAATTAACTACATATAACAAAGAAAATAATAATGCAACAATGAAGAGAATCATTTTTTTTTATCATGGCACGGAAAAAGAAGCATCCTTTGGCAAATCAAAGGGGCTCCAATTACCAATTAACAAGTCTGCATCATGAGCTTCAGGTCCAAGAAGTGGTGGTTGTGTGACTTGAAATGAATGATTCATCATTACCTCAGAATTGGACCACATCATATGATCATGTGGGGCTTCCTCTTCCCCTGGCAATGGTGGCAGCTCAAAATTCATTCTACCATGACTACTACATTGATCAATTCCATCTTGTTGAGGCGCCTGCAAAGAGTTGAACTCGCTATAGCACATATGGTTATTGCTGTTTTTACTACTTTCACTAAAATGGGGTTCTATGGATGCTTGCTTTGGCAGATTCAAACACCCAGAAGGACCAAGGTCTTCAGGAAATGTACTTGGGCCAACCTCAGTGTTGGATATTCTTGAATTATTTTCTAGACAAGGATCAAAAGCTGTTTGCACTTGATCTGGATTATTCACAAGCCCTTCTTCAGAATTAGGCTTTGGGTTGAGAAAATTTGCATAAACTAGTGCAAGATCAATATTTGGTCCATCACTCACCACTGAGGAGGAGCTAGAAGATGAAGAAGTCCTCACTCTAGGATCATAAGAATGACCCACATGGTTATTATGATCTGAAGGTGAATTTTTGAAAGTGAAACCATCAATGGATTGTCTTAGTAAGGTTTTGTTACCTCTTCTATTTTTCCTGCATCCACCACCAATTGGAACATTGCGGAGGGATCCACCTTTGGTCCAATACCTTCTACATCCCTTGCAAAAGTACCTCGGTTGAGTTAAGCTATAGTTATTGTAGTAGCAAAACTTGGTGTTGGAAGAACCACACCTTGGACAATTTGGTGATATCTCAACCTCAGGCTCCCAACCACTCTCCATCACCACAAAGCATATACCTGCATTTGTTTCATAAAAAAATTAATTACTTGAGTGTGTATGTGCGGGTGTGTGTGAGGGAAATTTCAAGGCGTGGTAATGCTACATAGTGGAGTTATATGTGGTAAGGGTGAAGCTTGAGGTTCCAAAGCACATTGAGTGTTGGGGTTTAAGTTTGTTTTGCAATGCACATGAGATCATAGATGGATATGATCTTGGAAATGTGTATGCACCCCATGCACATGAGGGTAAGTTAGCTTGGTAGTGGGTCACTACCCCGTAGGCTAATACATGGTGTCGGTGTTTAACACACGTGGCACTATGGTATTGGTTGTGATGAGGGTGAGTGGGGAAGCAAAGCCATCGGTGGCACCATTTCAGGTTTCTTTCAACAGCAGACAGCCTAGATATGAGAAGCACATTCCCACAAAAGGGTAGCATCGCAACCCCATTCTTTGCCTTCCCTTAGTAGTGATTCAAAGTAGAAACTTACACTGTTTCACAGCATTCCATTTTTGTAAAAGGATAAATATCATTGTGCCTCCCATTTAGGTGTGAGAAGTAAAAAATGTAAAAAAATTATTTAATTATTAAAAGTTGTATGCAAGTGAAATCTTTTTTAAAAGTATAATAATGAATATTCATGTCCTTTGTGAAATAAAAATTTTACATCACAGGTAACGAATAAAAGAAATGAAATCAGTTATTTATTTATTTTTTAATGTGATTTAACTTTTCTAGAGTGTGTAGTATATAGGGATGGCAATGGGTAAAGTACCCAATGGGTACCCGCAAAATTTATCCACAATGGGTAGGGTATTTACCCGCTATACAGGTACGGGTATGGGTGTGGGTAAAAACCCGCAAATTTTAATGGGGATGGGTGCGGGTATGGGTATCTAAGTACCCACCCCGCCCCATACCCGCATATATATATATATATGCTTGAACTTTATTCTACAATTATGCATTGAATTTTTGTATTATTATATTACTTATGTGAAGTTATATAAGATTAATATAAAAATATAGTTAATAATAAAGCAAACCAAAAAATTTATTTTGGTTTATATTTTTAATAGAAAAATTTATTTACTATTTTATATAATTTAATTAGGCTAACACAATTTAATTATTACATAGTTAATATAAGATTGACTTTTTTTAAAATATTATTTATATATGACACACATAAAATATTTTTTACACAAATATTTTTGTTAATAAAATCATATTGATGTTTAAATCATAAAGTGAATGATAAATAATAAATATATTATAAATATTTTATAAATTTTACAATCACCTACTATTACCATAAACTTATTATTTATTAATAATATTTAAATTTTATTTTTATATTTTAATTTAAAATAATATTTTTCTATATAACATATGTATTACAAGTACAATTATAATCTATTGAATCTAAATAATATTATTCTTACTATTAATTCACATTCAAAGAAGTTTTTGAAAAGATATAAATATAAAAAGTTATTGTTAATTTTTATTTGTTAATTTTTTAAAGATAAAAAAGTATAATTTTTTTAATATACACGTATATTTCTTTATTATAAAATTTTATTGTAACTATTTATCTTTTATTCAATTTTTTTTTTTAAATTTATATACATTATAAATATTTAATTCACTAAAATATTTTTTCAAAAATTTATATTTTTGATAAAATACTTTCGTATAGTATATGAGTTAAAAAATACTAGTATTAATATATATATATATATATATTAATTATATTATATTATTTTAATTAAATCTATTATTTTTCTTACAATTTCAAATTCAAAAGTTAAAAAAAATATTTTATGTATCAACTTTCTGTTATTAGTATTGAACTTCTCTACTTTAACTCTATTCTCATTCTCAATGTCTGTCTCACTAAAACTTAATAACTATAAAATGTTATTCATTAGAGTTAGTTGTTAATGCTGTCACAAAAGGTTACTAAGTGATCCCACGTGAAGGGACAACCATTGTATAGATCTATTTCGTTGTCGTTTTGACATTACCAACAATCAAATCTCACACAAGATAGAATTATCACTGACAAATAACTTGTGTGTTTAGTTTTTGCTTATTGTTTCTAAGAATTTTAGTTTAGAAAATTATTATATTAAGATACATTTAATATTTATGATCTTTGAATATTTGTTTTTATCTATATTTGTACCTTGTTCGGCAACTACATATTGAATTTTTGTATTATTATGCTACTTATGTGAAGTTATATAAACATATTTTTCTTTATAAATATTTTTTCTCAAACAAGCGCGGGTAATGGGTACAAGACGGGTATGCGGGTACCCAGAGGGTACGGGTACGGGGATTAATATTCATACCCACGCGGGTATGGGGCCAGGTATGGGTATTTTTTTAAAACGCGGGTATGGGGATGGGTACTGTAGTACCCTACCCATACCCTACCCATTGCCATCCCTAGTAGTGTATTCGAGAAAGCAAAGTGCGTAGAGTAACAACCCTTGATTACAAAAATTAATGGTAAAAATTTAATCATCCCTTCTAATAATTTTTCTGGGCACCTTGTGCGGCCTTGTTAATACTAATTAATTATTATTTTTCGGTTTTCTTCACTTGGGGTCTTTCAAGTAGGTGTTGTTTTGTGATTAAAATGATATTCGTTATTGCAAATATAGTTACGAAAAGCAATAGAAACAAGTATATTTCATCGGCATGGTAAGAATTGAACTTCCAACTTATTTTCACTTCTATCTATATATACAAGTACTACGGTTCGCAATTTGGAGGTCTAACTGTCTCTTCTGCAAGAAAGAGGCACATGGGAGCTAAGTATATCAGCATTTTGTGAAGAAAGAATGTCTCTTCCTAAATGATGATAAATTTTTCGTTGACTCTTATTTCTTGGATCATGGGCTTCTCGGATCATGTAACATTAGATTTCATCAAAATATTCCTAAAATACTACACTTTTATAAACGAAAATGTAAACAATTTACTTGTTTTAATTATTCCTAAAACCTCTGCGTATCCTAGAGAGTGATGATGCAAAATGCATAATCAACTGGTGAAACGAGGGCTGTCGAGCAGGAATTGCAAGCGTTGGCCAACTAAGAATATGAAATTCTCAAACATGCATGGTCAAAAAAATTTGATGAGCAAAAAATAAAGAAAAATTATTATTAAGTTTAAAAAATTGTTTGGTGAATAAAAAAATTAATTATAACTTTTAAAAGTTTTTTGATTAAAAGTTGTGTTTTAATATTTTTTATTTTTACCGTTAACTTTGAAAATAATTTATGCTCACAAAATAATTTTAACTTTTTAATTTATTTAACATATTTCAACTAATTATATAATTAATTTTATTAAATAGAATTAGTCTAATATAGAATAGCACATAATAATAATAATAATAATAATAATAATAATAATAATAATAAACAGTTATGATGTTGATGTTATATATGTTGATGAAAAGAAGATTCTATTTCTCAATATGACAATATTTATAACAAATGTGGTAATTTTTGGGGGGAGGTGGGGTAGTTCTAGAACAAATTTTGAAGTTTTACACTAGCTTTATCTTAAATCATCTAAAAACAATTAAATAAATTGTTCTTGATATTGATGTTCATCAGCTTTATCTTATTTCAATTTTTTAATTTATCAAACTCAATAAATATAATTATTATACCAATAAATATACAAATTGATCTCCAAATTTATCAACTTATGGAAGTCATTCTCTTTCAAGATTAATTTATATAAATGTAAACTTTTGAAAATCAAAGCAAAATAAGTAATATTTTGCAGAGTATAAATTGTATATTCATTCATAAATTTACTTATATGATTGAAAATTTTTTTATTTAGATCAAAGTGAAAGATAAAATATACTAAAATTTCATGTGTCAAAAGGTAGTGAAATGTTTATATCTATCGATAAATTTTTAAAAATTTTAATAGAATTTCATCTATTCAATTTTTATTGAAAGAGAAATAAATACAAATTTTGTATAAAAGAAATAATTACAAAATAAAGATGATTGGTAGCAACAGATTTACTCAGTTTTAATCACAGGTCATACTAAATTCAATTAATCAAAGTTATTAGTAAAATTTAAAATTAGACAACAGAATGACATATTTCAAAAGGAGAAGAAAGAGACTAGAGTCGAGCACAACTCTAAGGCAAAGCCATAAATCTACCTAAGCTCCAAAAAATGATATTTCTATAAGTAATATTATTTTAAACGTTAAACTTGTTAATGACATTAACATTTTCATTGTCTTAAAAAAATGGTAAAATTATGTACTTAATAATAGAAATGGAACTAAGTTAAACTGTCTAATAAAAGTATATGACTTAGTCTTTTTAAAGTATAGTCTAACTTAACTTATTTAAGTAACATGTTTAATTTAAATTTTTTTAAAAATTTAATTAATTAAATAGGTTAAACTTAGACTTAAGAAAAAATATATTAAGTCTAATAGAATAACATATTTAAGACTTACAAAATTTATAATACTATATTAAATAATTTTATATAAAAATTATAATATAACATTATACTAAATTTAATAAATAAAATCTTAAATTAAAAATACTAATTCATTTTGTTGGAGTTGAATAATATTCTTATTATATATTTTTTGTGAGAAAGAGCGTGCACTTGCTAGATTCTTTTACGTTACTATTACCTGATGCATCTTTTTCATTAATATTTTTATACTTTACTTCAGAACAATATTATTATTTATGTATTTTACATTTTTTTTTGTTGCATTTGCTAATTTTAGGTCTAAAATATATTTAGTTAATGTGTTTGTTGATTTAAAGTATGAAATTTTATGCTACTAAATTTACTTAATGATTTATGGATTGATTTTCAATCAATTGTGTTTATTGTATGCTCAGTGATTTACTTATTTAAATTAAATATACAGTTTGAAAATGATAAATAAGAATATATAATTTTATTACAAATATTCAAGATGTT